TCACATCGCTGTACCCCTCCCCCATGCGCTAACATGGCGCCCGGGACTCCGCATTTCGGGCGTTTTTATAAATCTACTTCCACCGACTGGATGAAAGCACAAGTGTGGCTAAAAATGGGCAACGTTAAAATGTATGTGCACTTAACACTAAAATCGGGTGCGTGTGAAACGTGCAGTCACGACTAGACGCACCGAGCGTGTGAAACGAGCCACTGCAAACTTCAGTCAGAAAGCACCGCACAACAAGCTAGTGAACCCGAGAGCTCCATCAAAACAGTGCAAGCATGTGCTAACCAAAGAGTCTAGAGGGTCTAACCTGCGAGTGAGCACAACTTTAAGGCAGTTTATTGTCCGATAAAGCTGTACAATGCCACACATCGCTCACATTCACACACGGCACCTGGGCAAATCGCTTTAAACACACATTAAGGCACCAGGCTAATGTAGGCTAACAACCATCCACTCCGGAGCGTTGCAGCAACTCGTAGCCAGTTCAACACTCATACAGGCAGAAATTAAATATCAGCGTATGTTCCCGGGTGCTTGTAAACACTCAAATGTCCACGTAAGAGCGCGTATTGTGGTCAGTCGAGCCCAGTGCCAGTAATATAACTTAACGATATCTTCTCGTGGCGTTAGCACCGAGCTATCTCGGGATAGCAAAGGCGCGCGGCCTGCTGCAACCCCATGTGCTGCTGCTGCTTTGTTCTGGAGCCACTTTTAAGTGTTCACCACAGCGCACAAACCAAACCGACAACTCCATATTCTATCAACATGTGGCCGACAACAGGACAACGTCAGTCTACAACTTGCGGCTACTACCAAACTGTGTAACGCCTAATTTTCACGAGTGAGTATCACTTTCCCGAGGTAGCGACTCTCGAGATGCGGAGCAACACATGCTTTTCAAATCTCCCTCATTCTCCAACCATGGAGGAGAGGTTGCCATGCGCCTCTTACAACATTGTTTTCAAATGCGGAAACTGGCGATTAAAACGTGTTTTTTTTTTCCCTCTCTCTCCCCCCCCACCACCACACAATGTTAACGTGAAACTGTGGCTCCGCTGTGGCACACACTGGCGAGCATTTCACTTTCCTGGCGTTTACCGCATCTCCCGATAAGGCTAACAACAGGTTTCTTGCCAATAACATGCGCGTAATAAGACACTAGCTCCTAACAAATCCACCATCTTCACTCACTTGTGCAGACTTACCGTTTACTCACGCTGTTTCGGGGGTTCTCTGCAAAACTGAGAAAAGAAAAAAAGACTTGACCGAAAAAACGAGTAACAGCTAGGACGTATAATCCAAAAAAAAGCCCAACCATGTGCTACTATTATGATTTGATAGGAGTTTGGGAATCGTAGTAAGATTGCGAAAGTGGCGCGAGTACACTCGAGGTTTAACCATGTGGTGAATGAAGGGCGGCTCCCAGCCAGCGTAGCTAAACCCCCAACTCCTTCATTAGCATAAATCAACTACTTCCTCTCCAAGTGCGACTCCCAAGTTTCACCGCTTGATTTTGCCTGTTGGTAAACACGCAGAGGTAGTAAAATACATAAACTACGAACTTATTCCTCGCGAGGAAGAACAACAAACATCCCCATTATAAAAAGCAGAGGCAGATAGGTTGCCGTTACAGGCGACATCAACAGCTGCTCAAAGTTTTCTAACCTGATTTTTTCTTGTTGTTGTTCCTGCGTAACGTTGAGACAAACATGTCTTGTGAGGATGGATAAACCCTAGAAATAAATATGATCAGTCAATCTAACGAAAAAAAACATTTACTCAGATCAGTTTGTTATGTACTAAGAAGGCAACTGAACTCACTATAGCCTACATAGTTATTATGTTTATCATATAAAACTTATGAGTCTTTCCAGCAGAAGTTGCTGTAATAAGAGGTATCATTTTGGGTGTACTAGCTGCACATTATTTGAGGTCTTTGTATTGTAATAGCAAATTGAACTTTTATATTTAATTTTTATTGCACAAATTCTTTACAAATTAAACAGAATTGTTGGCTTGGTGTAATTTAATTAAAAGATTAACTGCAGTAGAATCATAGCATGTAGATAGACTTTTATGGAAAGCTCAAAAGAAGAAAAAATTTATTTATTCGCTCATATAGTTTGATATTGTTTTTCATTCGTTATTGTGGAGAATATTGGGTTATAACTATTATAATAAAGCCTACATACTAACACTAACATTACTAACTAAAATGCAAACCAGATGTCTCAGCAATAATGTAAGAGGGTCACGTTGAATTAATGTTAACAATACAAAAAGGGGACCAAATGAAAAAAGTTACAATCCAGTTGTTATGAACATTAAATTTCCAACAAAACGGGGAAAAGGGTGAATATAGTGCTGTCTGTTCTGAATGTTTATGAGGCTTATGGGTACAGACCCATGAAGCTAGGTGATATTATTTAATTTTAGACTATAGTAGTATACGTTGTCAATGAATGTTTGCACTGAAAATTGTTATACAATGTATCCATTTTATTACAGCAATAAAATCTCAACCATAGAACTGTATTTGTGTACGATTTTAATAGCACATACAAAAACAATATCCACACAATACTTCTTAATTATAGGAGCAGAATGCGATTGGTAATCATAATTTGTATCAGCATTTCACAACAAAGCTTATTCCATAGTATAATGTCAAATACATTTCCATTTATTTGGGCAGTTTTTGTGTTACATTGAAACCACAAATTACTCTCTAACTCAAGGCCACAAATTAATAAAAAATAATGTCATTGCCACCAAGATGGTTTAAATTGTCAGGCTCCTCCCACTGAAAGGGAATGAGTGGTCCTCCTTCAAGCAGAAATGTGGGGAATTGTCTTGCTCATGACCATAGGTCAGTCTAATTCACCTTTCACCTCCAGATTCAGTCATGTGTGAAGTAACACAATGGAGGCACAGAATTTGATGTTGCCCTCCTGCTCACACAGCTGGAAAATGCAAGAGGCCCAAAAGTAGGTCCACTGCAATTTAAATGTATAAACTATTAGTATTTTGTTTAATAATATAAATTGACAGCAACATTTAAATAAATTGTAAATAGATTTTTTTAAATACCTTACTCCAAATGCATTACTGTGACATATAATTACACTTTACTTCACTCATACAAAACAGTGGTATACTGAGGCAGTGGGGATGACAAAATACCTTCTTGTCTTTCTGTTATTATAGTTTTAAAGAACTAGAGCTAAAGGACATATTGTTAATTAGTTGACAAGCACACAACTACATTTGTAATTTTAAATTATTTTGATTATGGGCCAGGGGGACATAATTTCTCCGCAGGGAGGGAAACCGCCCTTGAAACCTAATTTCTGGTACAAGTGTATCTTTCAACAAATGTAACAAATTGTATTTTAATGTCTGACCTATAAGATTAATTAAGTCTGAAATTATAGATTATAGATAAAACATACAATGCAACACAAAGTATATCAAATTTAAAATATTATGAATACATTTTTTTTGTGAAAAACTTTCAAAACAAAACAAGCCACGGCTCAGCTTAATAAAGTAAATATTTCTCAGACCTAAAACAGATGCAGACTCTGGTTTAAAACAAAAAAACATTTTACTTTATGACCACACACAGTGTAGAAAATGGGTACAATTTTTGTAGAGAGGATTAAAACATTTATGTGTATTCATGCTTATTAATGCATATTGCCAAAGTGAACCAATGACTCAAACAAACAAATATGCAACTACAGCCTATTGTTTTATATAGGTTTAACTGGTGTTGAGTACCTTTTAAAGCACTATATAAAATAAATGTATTATTATTATTATTATAACAGAACTATTAATGGCCTGTAGACCCTGACATATATTCAGCATACTTAAAATATTTTAAGTTATTTGCTCATACATGAAAAACCACATGATCATCTTATTTTCATACTTGTTGCCGGACCATTTAAATGTTCCCAGCAATAGGTCTTTTAGGAAAAGCACAGGTGATAACATTAACAATGGCTCTGTTGTATAAGTGTCCCATTAAGCCATAGTGTGATCATGAACCAGCATGCACAACAACAGGACCCTGAAACTGAAGAAGCTACATGGAATATATTGTCATTATGCTATCAATTATTTGATTATTTAAACATGTGAGCCAGTTGGTAATGAATCTGTAGGCCAACTGATAACTGATTTAATTTTAAATAAATAGGCTTTTACATCATAAATGACGGTGTATGTCTTCTCTTAAGTGTTAAAAGGTGTTAAGCACAGAAATGATAAAAGAGTTTCACACAAAAAAATATAAATTAAATTACAGCTGTTTGCAAGGAAACATAACTTTAGAAAATACATTAGACACAAGGAACAATCAGACAAATTAGATTAAAGTAATAACTATCTTTTGTTCTTCAAGGTTTGTATTTATTAACAGAACAGGTTTTCGGTTATAGAATCTGTATAACAATAATTATACAATTATATGAAACAAATGTTTGGTAGGTCTAGTAGGTATACTAACCTATTAACAGGCATACATTTGTTTGGTGTAAGAATCTTCCTTCACACTGTGATTTACAGGCTGTTAAAGGAAAAGGAAAAGACAGCTTCATTTGGCTTTTTAGCGACCTGTAAATACACATTCAACCACTATAACAGGGCGGACCAATCTTATTACATCAAGCTACCATATTTGTCGTAGTGTTTTTTTCTTTTTCAAAAATTGCGTTTGGTCGTCCTGATGTTTGAACCTACCCATCTGCCGTAGGTCACACGCTGTACAGTTATGGCTGCCCTCCACGGAAGCCACATCAACCTGCCACAATAATGTAACACCACAAGTCCGACACGGTAATTTGCAGTAATTTCTCATAGTACCCAACGTTGAAACCGAATACTCCGATATATTATTACAATATGTACATTACAGCACAGTGTCTGAACTTGTTTTAGTACATTGGTGGGTACATCGCCTAGCTAACAATGTCTAGTTGTTTTATTGTGAAGGTTGAAATACTTGAGTTCCGGTGTAATTGTCGCATGGCTGTCGACCTAACGCCTGTACTCCTCATGATTTCATGCGGTTGTTACATGTTCAGACCTAACAACAGGCTCATGTCGATGGTGGAGAGTTAAAGGTGAGTTCAACGACGTGCTCACAGATGTGTGTAATGTCATTAATGTTTGTTTTATGTCTTGTTTATGTTTATGTTTATGTTTGAACGTTACCTGCTGGTTGAAACCACATTGCTATTCTAAAATGTGGCTGTTCTCTGTTGTCTTACTTTTAGGCAAACTACTATAACATGCATGTAAGAGTATAACACTGAACAATTATACAAAGTAAGATATATTCTATGTTAAGTGGCAGTAACCTTGTTGCAGGGAAACGCTAGTTTTAAATTACGTGGCATGGGTCATGTCTCTGACTATGACTGTATGACTATGTATGACTGTATAATATATATATATATATATATGTATTCACTCAACAACTGTGTTTCAGGCAGGAAATATAGTTGTTTATAAGAGGTGTACATACAAATTTAAATATGACAGCTGAACTGAATGTTTGGCCTTGAATGAGATGTTTACAAGTAAATAGATATTTGTGACATCAGTCAAAAAATACGCTTAACTATCCGCTTAATATTTTATTATTTTTTTTAAATGGAGGTGCTCAAAACTGGGTGTGTGTATTATTCCCATGTCTACCTTTCACCCTCTGTTAAAAACACAATTTTACTGGCCTTCGACATCCCACACCGAATATGTGATGAAATTGATCTACAGGGGGCACCCTGATCACTCGCCTGGTAGAGCTGGTGCCCCATGTACCCAGGCTCAGTCCTTGCTGGAACTACCTGTAGTTATTTACTGCGTGTCATCCCCTCTCTCCCCCATTTCCACTCTATAGCTGCCATTAAAGAAAATAAAAGCCCCCAAAAATATATAAAAAAAGAAAGGAAATTAAATTGATCTACAGATATAATAATCCCCCAAAACAATTCCTAGCCCCTTTTTGTAAATTACTGCCAGCCATATTAGGAAATACATGTTTGGTCAACTTAACACTTTTAATTTGTCATTTTTAGCTGTATTTTAAAATCATGCCTTTGTCTTTTCAGTCTGGTGGATAGATGGCTGCTTGTGTGCTCTGTCGACCGGTGCGCAGGCTATGCTACCTCCCAGGCTTGAGAAAAGATTTTATCCAGGCTCAGCGCATGTCTGTCAAACAAGTGGATGAGACTGATGATCATGGAGGGAAGAAAGGAGTATTTCAACACCAGGAGGCATCTCTTCCAGAAGAATACAGGCTGCATTACAACCCTAGCTCATATCATCACTCTTTGTGGAACAAAGCAATCTCCCAGAGCCAAACAGATATTGATGAGGACAAGTGTCTCTCCACACTAGCGCCTTCCTTTTGGAAACAGAACAATCGCTACAGTGCTAGTTGCTTGCGGCATCTCTCCAGCTCAAAAAACGCACATCTTGACTTGGCTTTCAGCAAAGGCCCCAAACCTGAGATGCCATCACTGTTACCGTACCACAGAAAACCCATACAGCCAGATGTTCAAGTAGATACACGTGCTTTCCTCAAATGCCGACCAGAGTATGCCTCCAAGTCCCTTAACCTCACCAACCGACCTTGCTCAATCAAGTGGTCAGAGGCCTTGTCGCTGCTCCAAAAAGCGTCTGTTTTAAAGGGCAGTATGAAACCATCTAATGTGTCGCAGTTTCTCATGGAGCTCAGCTGCTCACACCCAGACAAGCTCTTATTACTGAAAAGTGACCAGCGCTTCACCATGCTCCTCCGATATTCTGTGGAACACCTTCGCCTCTTTACTACAGTTCAGCTGCTGGATGTCCTGCAGTCGTTTGTGTGGCTGGAAATGCCCCCTTCCCACCCTGTACTCGGGTTGTATGAGGCTGAGCTGTGCCGCAGGGCTGACGAGATGAGTTTGCACCAGTTGCTGTTTGCTGCTGACTTATGGCGCTGTATGAGGAGGCAGGTCCCAGAGTTCTTACAGCACCTCTTTAATTCAGTCCCTCTGTACCTTGGACAGATAGGGGTCCCTGAGTCGGTGCACCTGTTGTATATAATGGGAGAGGGTAGGCAGTGCCCAAAAGACTTCATCCGTCCTGTAGAGAGGCTCCTCATGTGTCATTTACAGCAACTGTACCCTGAGGAGGTTGGTACAGTATGCTTGGGGCTCTTTAAATCCCAAACTTCAATATCTGAAGATGCAGTGATTCATATTGTTGATAAGGCACACTCTTTTGTGGAGGAGATGAGTGACTTTGCCATAGTGAATGTGCTGAAATACATGCGTTTCAGCTACTTGTACCACAGGGACTGGCTGGAGGCCATGGCAGTGGAAGTTCCTCGACGGGCCCAAAGTATGGGTGTCAAAGGGCTTATGCATGTGGCCCTGACCTGTTCAGCACTGCATTACTACAATGATAAAATCCTAATGGCAATTGCTGAGAGAGTTCCATCGCTGGTGCCACACTGCAGGAGTAAAGACTCATGCAAACTGCTGTGGGCCTTTGGCACATTAGAGTTTCTCCCAGTTCAGAGCCCAAGCTTCTATTCAAGTCTGACAGACTCCTTGAGACAGAGGAAAGTTGAATTCGAGCGATACCCAGAGCATCTACTGACTGGTCTTCTAGGCCTGGCCTTTGTCTCTCAGTTCCCAGAGGACCTAATTGCATTAGCTTTGAGTCCTGAATTTGTCAACCTAGCACTGAAGTCCACACAGCTGGAGCTGAAAAAAGACTTGTTCACTTTAGACAGAGCTGTGGCTATGGAACTGCCTCTGAGGACTGGCCCATGGCTAAGCAGTGAACTGAGAGAGGAGGTGACAGAAATGCTGTGGAAGTTTGCGCAATTAGACGTGTGCCAGAAACCAGAGGTTCGGGAGGCAGAATCTATTCTGCAAGATCTGTTTGGAGGAGAAACGTTTGTACATAAGAGGATGATTCTGCCCCACACTCGTTCCATCGACCTCGAAGTACATCTTGACTCAAAAGGAAACCCTATAGCCCTGAACCCAGCATCCGACACAGCCACATTATCTCCAAAGAACAGTTCATCCAGAAGTCCTTCTCATAAGTTGAAGAAGAAAAGGATTGGACAAATTGATATAAGTGATGATCTTTTATCACAGCTAATACCAACCAAAAACACCACAGAGCCTTTAACCTCATCTCCTAAGGTTCACAAAGTAGAGCGTGATTGGTGGAGACTGTCTGAGACAGGGGTAGACCTGACCACTGAAATTACAGACGCTCTTATCAAACCCAGTGTCTTACGATCAAACCCCCATGTCTCGAAAGGCATTGTCAAACTTGCTATCCAGGTCTCCAGCAGGAACCACTACTGCTGCAATTCACAGCGGTTATTGGGTCTTCATGCGATGAAGAGGAGGCAGTTGAAGTTGGCAGGCTACAGGGTTGTAGAGCTTAGCCATCAGGAGTGGTTTCCCATGCTACGGAAAAGCAGGGCTGAGAAGCAGGCATACCTGCACTACAAAGTTTACAACGGTCTGTATTGATTCTCCGACCTCCAGGAGCCTGAAGAAATGAAAACAAACTTATTAACTTATTTCTGGTTTTTGGGCAATCTTTAGTTTTAAATATGTATGTGCACAGAAAAGGGTCTGTTAAGGCATTGGACAGATGTTTGTTTATCCACACCCACAATGGATTTCTTGTACAAAGTACATTTCATATTGACATGTGTGTGAAAAAACTCAAATAAAAAGAACTCTTTACTATCCTGGTTAAGGTTGTGGTATGATATCATGACAGCAGATATTTGGAATGTATTTTATTTTCTGAATGTATTTCAATCTGACATCAAGAACTTGCTTATACCTTCCAGGATTTGTAGAATACTAAGGAAATCATACTTGATCACATTCACTCATGTATGATGGTCAATGCATTTGTTTCTAGTGTTATTAGATTACTGACCACTTTGCACGGCAAGATTAAACTTTGTAAATAATGCAATACTACCACTAACTGCAACCCTCAAATCACTGCAGTATTGTCTGAAGATCTCCATGGAAGGCTGCAATGTTAAAGATTTAACAAAAATAGAATGTATAACAGTATTTATGACATAAAGGTACACTCCACTGTCACTTTTTTGTGGCAAATCTTAATGCAAAACATGATTTATATAGCAAAACTGCAAACACCACCTCTGAAACTGAGCATACCAAGTGACAGGGAAATTAATCCTTTGACACTGGGATAGAATTGATGCTCCCATGTTTGACTCCTCCAAGCTTTTATGATGACTTTGCTGTGGAGGTCATCTGTCCGTTTCTCATTGGACTACTGCAGCAGGATTAGGGATTTTCACAGATGTCACTGTTTGTATTTTTATCTTTTTGAGGTAGAAATAAATTGTCAGACTTTTTCCTTTGACATGTTATTGTAACGATATTGTTCTGTCATCTTGCATAAACATGAAGTAGTGTAAGAATAGAAGAGCAACAAAAGTGGGCCGCTGAACAGAACCGTTTTATTGTAAAGAGCTGTCAAATTCACAACATGTTTGTTTATTGTGAGTTTTGGGGATTTTATTTTTCTGGCAGCATTTCTTGGGAATGCCATGAAGTTCGACAGCCCAAGGTCTGAGATGTCTCTCACTGATAAATCACCACACAAGGTTAAAGTGACTTAGACAAAAATTATAACCAGAAAGGAAACGTTATAAGTCAATTTCTGGATTGAAGTTCATTTTCATGGTGTATTGACATGAATGGCAATCAGTGGCTGCCTGGAATAAAGGAGAATATTTTAAAACATCTACTCACAACTCTCTCTCTCAAATCTTACAAGTAATGGCTTCAGCCTGTTAAGAAAAGTAAGACAAAATTGAATTAGTTGAAGGACATTGTTTTATGCACAGGCTTTCAAAAGCATAACAATGAACCAAATTTAAAAAACAAACAGTTGGTTTAAAAAAAGCCCATCTTGTGTTTAGCTGACAGTCATCCATGTTTGGGAACATCCGTAAGCAGGATATCCTTGTTACTCCCTGAAAAAAAAGCTGGGATGAGACCTTGGGGCAAGGACACACTAGAGAGACTACAGGTGTGTTCTGTTCCCCTTAAAGTGTTCCTCTTTCTTTCCCTCCCTACCTCCTTATTTCCTTTGTGACCCAGAAACTGGTGTTCGTGCTTCCATCTTGCCAGCTGTCCCAATACTGTGAGAGACAAAAACAGCTTCAAGGTCTCCAGCTAGGAAACGTCTGAAAGAAAGGAAAATCTTGCAGGGATGTTTTTTTTTTTTTTGTTAATGGCATGCCCATTAATCCCGCAGACACAACTTGCATTCATTTTACCCACTTAGAGAATTAAAGAAAAAATCCTGCAGCGTCAAGATAAAAGTAGCCAATTGTAGTGCTTGTACAGTATATTCCTGCCCCACGTTGTGTCTCTTTGTTAGCTCGGTAGGAAATGAGACAGAATTTGGAATACTTGATTTTATAATTGGTTATTGGACTGAATATTTAAGTTGAGATCACTTTAACAATGGGAAACAACTGTCCTAATTCCCTTCTCTCTCCTGTCTTCCCTCACTTCCTGATGGGAGACAAGTGGCATGAAGAGTAGCAGTAGAGTAGAAGAGGCAAATTCAATCAACACTACATCTGTCAGCATGTGTTGGAGCACTTGATGATCCCCCAGGAGCAGTTGGAGGAAGGTGCTGGGAACAAAGGGACATTTTGGTTGCACTGTTGCCATTTCTCTCTGATCAGGATGAATGAGAAGAAAATGAATGTTATGCTATGCTTACAATTGGCCAGCAGAGGGCACTCTGTATTTAGGAAACTGGCCATTTTGTCTCACTGACAATGATGAAACAGTCCCTTGACTGACTTGATTGATTAGAACATTTTCATATAACTTACATTAATATGAATGCAAGAAGGGATTTATTATATTCGCATAAACAGTTCTAACAAGTTAAACAACATAAAAAAAATATTTTTTGTTTTGTCAATATTACATAATGTTTTTGACAATACAGTGAATTTGCAGACCCAACAAAAGAGACAAATGCATTTGAGGGCAATAAATACATTTTAATAAGGCAGAGAAGAGTCAATAAATACCTCTCCTATTCTTCACAGATCTGAAAAACTACAAAAGAGAATTCACATTTGGGCACTTTCAAGTCAGTGCCATCCCCGCAGCTACAAATTTCACACTTCTGGGTGTGCAGGAATCAAGCTTTTGAAGTTGAGATGATTCAGTTTCTCATTTAGCACCATTTTCTTTGGATTCAAATGCAACTCAATGGATCACCAAATAAATCCCTTATCCACGTAGGGAGAAACCATTACCTCTCTCACTGATGTTGTTGTTGATGTTGATGTGTCATCTCTATTATGTTTTCAGGCTGACGCTAACAAGGGCAAACATGTTTAGGGAATAGGGGCTGTCTGCCACAGCACACTAGTTTTATTAGTGTGTGTGGAGTAATGGGAGTGATTATCAGCTTAGATTAGATCATTATGCTGTTATTATATTGTCTTCTGAGTCTTCCAAGCAAGGTACTAAACGTTCCGTGATTTGCTCATGTCTCACTGATGACGACATTAATTGAGTTATTAACTTCCTATAAACAAAAGCAAATAAGTAGTAAGTAGAGAATAATCATTAGGCTTAGACACTATTTTAAAATGTGACCAGTATTTCACCCATTAATAGAGGAGGCTCTGGTAGAGTGAATGCTCTCTCAGTAATCCCCGTCTTATTTGCATTTCAATTCTTTTGCATTTTTCAGCCTGGAAGCTAATCCAGCACAGTCTGAATGTAGGCTAGACTTGCATCAACATTTCTTAAGTTATCTCAGAATAGAGATACTACTGTCTGCCTGCTATAATTCCTTTATTTAGCTTATTGTATGAAACAGACAAATCCTAATGTCACATATTCTTTAAGCATTGATGCAAGACCCCTGCTACTACCACTTGAGTTGTCACAGAAAAATCCACTTCAATGTGTTGGATCCTTGACATTCACAAGTTAGGGAAGCAAGTACGGATTAACCAGATATATGCAAATTATTTTCCCTTGAGAGTGTCAACAAATGATCCCCATCACAATGTTGCACTATGCTGGCGCTAAATACTGCCAGTGTGCTGCATGTTTCTGTATCAGTCCCTCTCAGTGCAACTTCCTTTCTGACCCCTTCAGTGGCATTCAATAATGTGTCTGGATCCTTGCCTTTAAGATTCCAAACACACACACACTCTGCTAAACCAACTGCTGCAGGGACACGACTGACAGGGAGTGTTTGCATTCAGTGCTTGTCTTTGCTGCTATTGATAGACCTTTATTAACTTAACTAAGTTTAAGATTTGTCACTCGGTTCCTCATATCCTAGTGGATAAATCTTTTCACCTCAATAACACAGTGGATTTGGATTATTAGCGTTGCATTTTTGTATACTTAAAAATAAAGAATGATGCTTGGGAAGAATGTCATGCACTATTACTCAAGCTATAGTCAGGCATAGACAGAGAAATATATGATATGACCATGTAACCACAGGCGCTGATTTCCTATTACACCATTTGACATGATATAGCAGGGGGATGCTTAAGATTTCCATGTGTGTAGATCTTGCTTTTCATGGATTTTGTAAATTCATACTATCCATAGAAACATTAACTGTTGGTCCATGAAAGAATCATGACCAGAAGGCACATTAAAGAGAGAAGGCTGAACACAGATAATGACAATATGCAGCTTGGCAACGCAGTTCAGAAGTTCAACAGAAATAAACATTTGCGAAGAAGACATTCCAGTAATTAAAGCATATGCTGTTGTAATTAAAAAATCCCCTCATTCATAACGCAGTGGCTATTTTTAGCAAGCTTGTAAAAGAGGATGGTATTGAAAGAAAAACACTTGTGTTGTCAAGCTAATTAACATTATGTGGGCCACTCCCTGCGTGAGATAAGTTCAAGATGACACTTGACAGCATTGTATTGCATAACCACATTGCTGTCCCTCTACACTCATCATTTGGTCACACAAATCATTACAGCTCAAAGAAGGATTGATGTAAGCTCACTAAACAGAGTGGAAATGTAACAGCAGAGTCACTGTAATACAGTTCCACATGGCATTTTCAAGGGGGTCATCCCTTTATAAAACTCCATAATCATGTAAATTCTGGCTGGCATATCGGAAGGCATTTCAAGGTCAGTTTTGTTTCATTTCATGACAGTGCTACATCAAACCATAAAGTTATAATAAGTCTATCATTACATCATATCCCATTTTCTGTACTATTTATGTATGGTATTTTTTCCAGCAAAACCCAATCTGTGTATTTGCACACTAATTGCCTCTTTATATTGTGGTTTCATTGTCATTGGTGGAGTCTGCCTTGCTGAGGAATTCAAATATGTTAACCATGCTCAAGGGATTTTCGCAGGAAATAATGGCTGCACATTTTGGACGTGATACGAAAGACAAAAGCCAGTGTCAGGTAACACTGTTAACTTATTCATTTAACAATGGTACAGAGAGACAGAAACCAGTGTTGCATGCACTTTTAGACCTTTATTAATAAAATGCACTTGCAAAGAAAAAAAAAACATACACGCAAAATGCCCCAAAAGTATCTTTGTATGTGTGGTTTTAGACACTGAAAACACAAAGCACTCTCCCAAGCGATACACAAAAAAACCTTCAAGATATTGCAAGCTTATTTTGAGAGCTTCCGATGAATAGATTGATGGATTTATTCTTTATGTGGATATTAAATGGGTTAATGCATTCTCTTTCAATTATCGGGGCTTAAAAACTTTCAACAAAAGCTGAGTCACTGCAATGAAACTTCAGTCTGACACATATCAGGATTCAGGATGCTTACTCTGCAGGATGGGTGAAGATGAGAAACAGCTGCAGAACGGACCGACCAGGAGTTGCAATTTTGGGATGGATCAATGACATCCTTATTTTGGGCACATTTAGCAAAAGCTCAGGATACAGAGCACTTGCAGGGTTTTAAATTAGTTTGTACATATATTGTACTGGATAATCACCTAAACGATACCAATGGTATGATGGTCCTTGAGGTATATTAAGGACCTAATTAAACAGTAAAATTTCTGACATTTTTTTCCAGCATCGTAAAATAATATAAAGGAAAAACAAAATGATTAAAGATGTATAAACATGAAAAACATGAACAAGATTCAGTTTACATATTCAGGCAATTTCTTAATTAGTAACAAATGTTTCACATTTTTTCACGTTTGTTATAACTCCTGAGCTTTGTTGATATTTGTTAAGCTATTAAAGATACTAAAGATGATTAAGCTGCAATATTATTTGGGTCTCCATGTTTAGTCTAGTTGAACACTTTCAAAATTCTACATACAATTCTGACTGATATTTTGGATTTGTAGACACATACTTAAATTAACCCTCCAGCAACTATACCACTATTACAAACATATATGAAGTATGTCAAAAAACCTTAAATTTCAAATGGTACTTGCTTGGTTTACTCCTAATATATCTCCCTTGATTGTCCTATAAGCCTACTAAAGGCACAAATTATAAAGGGTGCCCACACAGCAGAAAATGAAGGCTCTTCACATCATGTTTATGCTTATCCTGCCTTCTTAGAAGCTCTTAAAGCAAACAGACATTTAGCCTCCAGGTTAATATCAATATGTGACTATATTTAATGCTGGCAGTTGAGGACATGTGGTTCTTCTATTTGACAAATTTATGGTGTATTTTTGTTATGTATGAATGTAATT